GATTTCTCGCTTTCTGTCTCTCTGTCTTTCTCTGTCTTTCTGGCAAGTGCACGCACCCTATAGCGAAAACCTCTCAAAAAGGAAAAAACAAAAAAACACACCATGACTTTCCTGACGACCCAGTAGTTCTGTTTTAGCCCAGTCAGCCTCAGATAACCTGTAGGAACCAGCAATTCCACCGACTCAGTTTGTCGCTCATCGCAGTGAGGGAGACAGCCCGCTGGTGGAGCCCCTGGCCCTATCACTAACGGAAAAGAGGGTCGAACAGGATTTGGGAACGGGTGGGGTTCAGGTGAGAGTGAAGCGAGGCTCAGAGCACAGCTGTGTGAAGGGGTCGTGGCCTGGCGGCACAGGGGACCCAGGGTTCTGTTTCTGGGGAAATTCGGGTTATATAAGCGAGGAATGTGTGGGTTCCTTAGCTGCGGCTCTGCCTGTGGTGTGGACTCAAGGCTGTTTCTGTGTAGACCCAGCTCTGAGCCCCCACTGTGTGATGTGACCGAGAGGCCGCCGCTGACGTCCAGGAGCGGTCTGGCACTCCCCGCCAGGTCTTGGCGCTCTCCTAGTCACCAAAACAGTCACAGAACAGCAACATCCGGTTGTGATGGATCAAGACGGTGCAGGCCGGGACCACAGGTGGCGTCATGGTTTTGTCGCTAGACGCCCACATAGTTTACCATGGTTCAAGTCCCGGCCCTAGCAGCTTAAAACTCACCCCGGAATTGTGTGTATGTGTGCCCAAAATCCCAAAAGGAGAATGGAGGAGAAGGGATTGAGGCATGGCCATCTTCCCTGAGGGGTGATTTCTCACTTTCTGTTTATTTTAATTTGACCAGAGAAGGACAGAGTGAGAGAGAAAGTGAGAAAGCAAGCCACCAGGTCCAGGACTTAAACCGTGGTCGACCATGTGGGAGTCCAGCACCCCTAGCTACTACACCATTTGCCGGCCCCTAAAAAATTCTTTCTTGGGGCCAGCGGATGGCATAATGGTTACGTTGCTGGACTCCTACATGGTCAACCTTAGTTCAAGTCCCAGACTTGGTGGTTTTAAACTCAGGCTTTGGGGGGTGATTTTTCTTTCTTTTTGTTTTTGGGTTTTTTGTTTTGTTTTGTTTTTGTTTTTGTTTTTTTCCCAGAGAGGTTTTTGCTATAGGGTGTGTGCGCTCACCAGAAAGACAGAGAGAGAGAGAAAGACAGAAAGCTAGAAATCACCCCTGAGGGGGATGGCCATGCCGCAATCCCTTCTCCTCCATTCTCCTCTCGGGATCTTGGGCACGCACTCACACACACCCGGCATGCAAGCCGCCAGGTCTGGGACTTGAACCACGGTCGGCTACATGGGAGTCCAGCGACATAGCCGTTACGCCAACTGCTGGTGGGGGGCGGGGGTGATTTTTCACTTTCTGTCTCACTGTCTCTCTGTCTCTCTGATGACCACATACACCCTATCGGAAAAATCACTCTGAAAAACAGAAACAAACAAAAAAAAAGCACTTTTTTAAACAGTGCCCTGCGCTCCTGTGAAAGTTGTCTGAATCAGTGGAGTTGTGTCAACTGACAGCTGAGCCTGGGAAGGCCGTGGCGGGTGTTTCCTCTAGCATGCCAGACAGTGCAAACGTCAGTTAAGGACTTCTGCCAGAACCACGACCTTGCACAGACCTCTGCACCCTGACAGGAGGGCTGTTCCTCTGAAGACATCTGCCCAGAGCGAACCAGCAGTTAACGTAATGGCTATGTCGCTGGACTCCCACATAGTCGACTGCGGTTCGTGTCCCGGACCTGGTGGCTTAAAACTCATGCTGGGTGCGTGTGCATGCGTGCCCAAGATCCCGAGAGGAGAATGGAGAAGGGATTGCGGCGTGACCATCCCCCCTGGGGGGTGATTTCTCGCTTTCTGTCTCTGTCTGGCGAGCACACGCGCCCTATAGCGAAACCCTCTCCAAAAAAAAGACATCTGCCCAGAGACTGCTTCCCACCCTGGCCTGGCGCCACCTCCTTACTGACGCCGCTGGCTAGGGGTGATTGTCCCCAGACTGCTGCTGCACATCACTCCTCTCCCACTTGTGGTCACTGCCTTTAAAATATGCCAGAGGGGGGCCAGCAGGTGGTGCGGTGATTAAGACGGCTGGACTCCCACATGGACGGTGGCTGTTTGAGTCCCACATCGGTGGCCTAAAAATCATGCTGGGCATGCGTGTGCGTGCGTGCCCAAGATCCCCAGAGGAGAATGGAGGAGAAGGGACTGTGGCATGGCCGTCCCTCTGGGGGTGATTCCTCACTTTTCCTCTCTCTGGCAAGCACAGCATGCACTATGGCCAAAAAACAACAAAACAAAATAACAGCTGAACTAAGACAAGCAAAAGCCTGCCTGAGGATGGTTCTGGGGCAGCCTGACCCAGCCGGCTGCAGCCTTGGCCCAGACACACCCCTCTGCTTTCCATGCTGTGCTTCAGGTCTCCTGTTTGGGTCGCTGCTGGCGGTGTGGCACATTCTTCCCTACAGCAGCAGACGCACTGAGGACAGCGGGTCTGTTCCCGGCAACAGCTGCCTGGAGGAAACTGACGTGATTCAAACAGGAAGGCTTTGATTTTCCAGAACAAAGTTTCTTAGTAGGAAAGCAGCAGTCGCTCAGAGAAAGGAGTTGCCACCAGATGACAGCTGCAGCGTGTCCTTGAGAATATTTCAGGGTGCCCTTGAGCAGGTTGGGGGGGCTCCCTGCGTTCCTCTCAGCCTGCTCCTTTAATCCTGAGTTCTTTCTGATGCCGCTCTGGCCTTGGGGAGTTCCCTTCCGTGCCTGCACTCCAGGATGTCTGCGGGCGCCCTGGTTCGCTTTCTACAACCCTCTCCTCTGGTTCTCTGGCCTGTGAACTCTAGCCCCTCGGCCCCCCCATCCTTAGCTCCATCTTTTTAACGCAGAGCGTCTTCTAGGCTCCATCTTAGTCCTCTGTCTAAAAACTTGTTTTTTTTCCTACAGGGCACAGGAACTGGCTGGGGGCTGGGGAGGTAAGAAAGCACCTGCCAGGGTGGGCGGCTACACTGCCATCCTTTCCCCTCCGTTTTCCTCTTACTCATGTTCCCAGTGTGATTTTCAAGCTGCCGGGTCTGGGACTTGAACCATGCAGACGGCCATGTGGGAATCAGCAGCCTTAACCACCACGACACTGGCTTGCCCAAAAACAAAGCAGCAAGTTCGAACAGTCATAGGGCCCACCTAGTTATTTTCCCATCCCTCATGAATCATGTCCTTTCTTGCCTAATGTTGAAAGTCTTTTTTTTTTTTTTTTTTTTTTAATTACCACAGGGCATGTGTGCTTGCCAGAGAGGGAGAGACAGCACCCTCCATGGGATGCAGTCATGCCACAATCCCTCCTCCTTTTCTCCATCTTAGAATTTAAGTCACACATGCCTGGCCTGCTTTTCAAGCCATCAGGGCCCGATTGAAACCACGGCTGGCGTGTGGGATTCAGCTACCTTAACCACTAGGCTACAAGCCAGCCTATCCACAGTCTTGAAAGTTTTTCATAGATTCATCTTTTTTTTTTTTTTTTTTTTTTTTTTTTTTTTAAAAAAAAAAATTTTCCCCCATCTTGGTTTTTTTTTTTTGAGAGGTTTTTCCTATAGGGTTTTTTATGCAAGAAGATAATCTTACTCCATCTTGGCTAGATATGGAAGTTTGAATAATCTTTTAATAAACCAAAATTTAGCAAAATCTTCCTTTATCGTTTGAGTTTATTAAATCTTCTTAAGGAAATTTTTCTTATCCCAAGGTCATAAAGAATATATATATGAATTATTTAATTGTATACCTTGTCATTATTTTATTTATTCATTTCCCAAATTGATCAGAGAGAGACAGAGAAAGAAGGAAAGTGAGAAAGCAAGCTGCCAGGTCTAGGACTCAAACCAAGGTCAGCTACGTGAGAGTCCAGCTGCTCTAACCACTATGCCACCTGCCTGTGTTATTTTTTTCCTTAAAGTTATAAAGTATTTCTTTCACTTTGAAGCCTCTAATCCTTCTGTAGTAGATCTGTGTTTGGTGGGAGTTAAGAGATACCGACTAATCTTGGAGTTACCATGTTCCATTTAACCTTGCCGGTAAATGGAGCCGAATTGTACTGGGCCTTTAGATACAGGCCCAGGAGAACCGGTTTCTTTTTCATATACAATATTGACCTTTCCTATGTTTACCCATTCTTGTATCAATAGTGACGGACTGGGTCCATGAGGTGGCGTGGTGGTTAAGGCACTGGACTCCCACATGACTGACTGAGGTTCAAGTCCTGGACTGGTGGCTAGCTTTCTCACTTTCTCTATGTCTCTGACCAAAACTAAAAAGTAATAATAAACAATTGTCTAAAAATAAATAAAGGCTTGCCCTCATTTCTATTTAAAAAAATAGTGATGGACTAGTTCTAATTTTTTCCTGTTAGAAGGATGCTGTGGGGCCAGCAGGTGGTGTGGTGGTTAAGGCGCCAGACTCCCACATGGCTGACTTCGGTTCGAGTCCTGAGACCTGGTGGCTTGCCTTCTCTCTTTCTCTCTGGTGAGCACATGTGCCCTATAGCAAATTGCAAAAATAATAATAAAATAATCATTTTTTAAAATGGATGCCCTGGGACCAGCAGTTAGCGTAATGGCTATGTCGTTGGACTCCCATGTAGTCGACTGTGGTTCGAGTCCCGGACCCGGTGGCTTAAACTCATGCCGGGCGCGTGTGCGTGCATGCCCAAAATCCTGAGAGGAGACGAGAAGGGATTGCGGCGTGGCCATCCCCCTGGGGGGTGATTTCTCACTTTCTGTCTCTCTGTCTCTCTGGTGAGCGCGTGCGCCCTATAGTAAAAACCTCTCCAAAAAAAGATGCCCTTGCTCGGCTTTTTGTACGTGCACGTGAGAGTTTTGCTAGGATTTGTATCTACAGTAAAATCATTGGGTTACAGGCAGAAATGAATTTACCGTGAATCTAATAACATTTAATATTTTTAATGATATCTTTGTTTTCCTAGAGAACCACCACCCCCAAGAATTGTACAGCCATCAGGTGTCCCAGTGCCTGGATTTGCCCTGTCGGGCTATGTACCTGTTGGATGGAAAAATGCAACTATGTAAAATTCTAACACAGGAGGATCTGACCCAGGGAATTGGGTAGAAGGTGCTGGAAGGGCTGGAGGAACAAAAGGGCAGGGGTTTCTGCAGCTGAGAGGGGGCTGTACCCGCCGTGCTCCTCACTCTATGGTAGGGGCTGGGAACCTGCAAACACACCCCGCAGTGCGGACAGCTTGGCCTGCTGGCTTCCAGTTCAGCCCCGCCAGAGGCGCTGACGGCAGGGAGAAGCCCCCACCCCGCTGCTGGAGGCTCCTCTGGCGTGGCGGTGTGCGTGTGGGGGGTGACGGCTGCAGTCGCAGCAGGGCTGCAGGCTCCCGGGCTCCAGAACAGCAATGCCTCCTGTGGCTCGGCCCCCAAGCTCCCTCTGCTGTCTCACATCCTCGCTCCAGGCGTCTCCAACCCTGCTTTCACCCGCGGGCCATCATGCCCAGTGTCTTCCCACCAGCGCGGCCTCCCCAGCTCCATGCCCTTCCGTCCCTCGCAGGACCCACGGCTGTGCCCTTGAGCCCAGAGCGCTCTGACAAGCACCTCGGAGGCTCGGCACCTGTCAACAGCTACCAGAATGCATCCCGGGGCCCTGCTCAGCCCCACGTGTTCCCTCCGCCGGCCGTCTCTGCGCTGTTTCCTGCTGAAAAAAAAAAAGTAGCGGAAAACAGCAGGAAGCGCTGGGGGCCACCCCCCGCGCCGCCACCAGGGGGCAGCAGACGCTGGCCAAAGCCGCGGGTCTCCCGGCCCTGCGCGGCGCCGGTGCAGCCTCCTCACCCCCCTGCCCTGCCCCGCGGGAGACCCAGCGCGGACTCCTGGATCCGCGGCGGCCTCGGGTCTGCCCGCACTCGTGCCTGCTGCTGTCCTCCCCCCCGGGCCTCAGACAGCCCCTCCGGCCTTCGCGCGGCTCCCGCGGCCCTTGAGACCCCGGAGGTCCGCAGGGCACTCTCTTGGGCCCTCCAGGTCCTGCTCGGCGAGGCCTTGGCGGAGCCACACCCGCGCGCAGGCCCCTCGGAGGGGCCCCTGGGCAGGGCGAGCCCGGACCACCTGCAGCCCTCAGCTCCCGGGGGGCCGCCCGTTGGCAGCCGGGGCTCTGCGGGACCGACCGCCCCCACCCCAGGAGCGTCACTGCGGTGGGCTCCCCGCGGCCCAGCTGGGCTTCCATCCCGTCCAAGTCCAAGCGCTCCCTCCGCCCAATCCCACTGCCCCCCACCCGCTTCACAGATAGGGCCCCCAACTCGTCCCAGCCCCGCTTCTGGAGCCCCCGCAGGGCGAGGTGGGGGCGGGAGCCCGGCGGGCGGCCGGGTGGGAGGGCTGAGAGCCGGGGCCTCCAGGGCTGCGGGTCAGCGCGGTCACATTGCCTGCCTGGCCCCCAGTGTGGGAGGGCCTTGGGGGCACCTGCGCAGGTGAGAGGCTGAGCACACACCTGCCGAGAGAAGTCTTTTTAGTCAAGTAAGACTTGTGCCCGCATGTTCGTAACCGCTTTCCGAGTAACAGACAAAAAGGACAAATAAACCTTTCAATCGGATAGACCCAAAGCTAGCTGGGATATACTCGGCGACAAAGAACCACCGCAGGGAGAGACGTCTCCCAAAGGGTGCAAGTTTTCGAATCCATTCTAGGACAGTCCCGAGCAGGTGACACCAAGCAGTGGGACTAGGTCAGCCTCAGCCTGCTGCTGGAGACGGGGCCAGATGCTCAGATGCCCGGGGGCCCAGGGTCACAACCTTCCAGCCCCAGCTCACTCGTCCCTTACTGCATGCCCTGGGCAAGTCGCCGCCTTCTCAGGGGCTGGGTTCCCCCATGTACGTCCCCACAGAGGCTGAAATAGGTGGCAACAGGCTTCCATCCACGGCGACATTCCAGGACAATGTCCCCTGTGCCTGCCTGCGAGTGGCCCAGCCTCCGTGACAGGGTGAGGCCCCCTCTGGGGTCCTGGGGTTCTGGCCCCAAGGCACATGGGATCTGGTGGGGCAGGACACCACCCAACCACAAGGGGAGCTGGGACTCCCCCGTGTGCCCCCACAGCACCGGGCTTGGAGGACAGGGATTGGTGGTCCGTCCGCACCTTTTGTTCCTGTCCCTGGGGCTTTGCAAGCCAGTGAAAACACAGCCCTGGGAATAAAAGACCCTTGTCCAGAGTTCAGAGCCCTAATCCTCTTACATGTCACCAGCAGAAAGCCAGAGCCAGTGGCAGAAGGGCTGCTCTGGTTCCCTGCCAGCCTGTCCCTCGCCCCACGCTGGTGCCAGCCCAGTGTCATCACAAAGTGCTGAGGTGACCGGGAGGTGAGCTCTGGACAGTCTGAGCACACGCCCCATCCTCAGAGCCCTCGTCAGCTCTCAGTCCCCACATGGCCTGGTGCAGCCCAGCCCAGGGGTCTGTCTCCCTCCCTGGGAGCCCAGGTCCTGGGGTGATAAGGATGAGGGGGCTGGACTGGCTAGCTGGGTCCCTGCTCTCACCTGAGACGGACAGGCCCCCACCCAGAGTCTCTGTCCCAGGACTGGCCGGGGAGAGCACGGGCACCCCCGGAGAGGCTGGCACGACAGCACCAGACTGACGAGTGGGTCAGACGTGGGCAGAAGGCCGGGCCAGGCTGCGGAGGGGAAGCGACAGCAAGGACGGCACTGGGAGGGCCACACGAGGGTGTGGGGGGCCGGCGCTGCCCAGAGGCCTGGGCATCAGCGAGGAGGACCCTGGGAAGCTACCGTGCTGTGAGGTTTTGTTATAGGGCACATGTGCTCACTGGAGAGACAGAGACAGAGACAGAAAGCAAGCACTCCCCGGGGGCGGCCACACTACAATCCCTTCTCCTCTCAGGATTTTGTGGCCAGTGTGAGTTTCAAGCTGCCACATCTGACGCTTGAATTGAGGTTGACCACATGGGAGTCCAGCACCTTAACCACCATGCCTTCTACTGACCTCCCAGGTTTGTTTTCTAGGTTTTCGCCAAAGGACCCGTGTGCCTGTCAGAGAGAGAGGAAGGTGAGAAACCCTCCAGGGATGGCCGTGCTGCGGTCTCTTATCCTCCATTTTCATCCTGGGACTTCGAACATGCATGTACACGCGCCCAGTGTGAGTTTCAAGCCACTGGGTCTGGACTCAAACCGTGGTCGTCTGTGTGGGTGTCCAGCGTCTTGACCACTACGCCACTTGCTGGCCGGCCAGGCACCAGCATTGCCTGGGTACTTAATGGCGAGTGAAGACCGCAACAAATCAGCACCGCAGCAGTCACTGCTTAAAGTGGAAACGGGGCCGGGCAGTGCACTGAGGAAGAACATGGTGTTCTCTGAGACCACGTGGGAGGTGCCACGTTCGTATCCGCAGACCTCTGGGTGTGCCTGGGACCGGGCTGGCGGAGGCGGAGAGCAGCAGGTCCCTGTCGGGGGCTGTCTCTTTGTCTCTCTTGTTTATGGAGGAAATTTAGAATTATTTTCATTTTATTATTATTTTTAAAATTTAGTATAAAGCATGTGTGCTCACCAGAGAGAGGCAGAGAGAGAGAGAAAAAGCAAGCCGCCATGTCCAGGACTTGAACCGTGGTCAGCCATGTAGGAGTCCAGCACCTTAACCACCATGCCACCTGCTGGCCCCAGGAATTAAATTTTTTTTGGGGGGGAGAGAGGTTTTTGCTATAGGGCGCGTGCGTTCGCCAGACAGAGAGAGACAGAGAGACAGAAAGCGAGAAATCACCCCCCAGTGGAGATGGTCACGCCGCAATCCCTTCTCCTCCATTCTCTCGGGATCTTGGGCACACACGCACATGCACCCGGCATGAGTTTTAAGCCACCG